GCAAAAAAAGCAGAGAAGTTGTGCTTTTCTACGTGCAAAAAAAGCAGAGAAGTTGTGCTTTTCTTCGCGAGTTTCGAAAGAACAAAATAAAAACATAAAATAGAAAAGAAAGCATGGAATCTACTTATGAAACAGAAATATTTCCAGGTAGGGTTACAAGTTTTTTTTTTTATTTATAAAGGCTTCATTTGTGAAATTTATTCACTGAAGCAGCTCATCAAATTATCTTCAGATCCTGAAAATGCATGCTGAGCTTTTTGCACTCAAGAAGTGGTCTCACAATTGATCTGAAAACTTTGAATCAAAAAGTGATTATTCTCAAAATGAGTAATTAAATAATGTACATATTTTATTCATTGAAAAACATCCAAGAAAATTTTTATTTGAACTACAATAGAAGAAAGGTTCTGCTTCCAATGGAAAATTACCAATCTGACACATTGTGAAGACATGAATTATAAAATTTTCACTGAAAACTACATAAAATGGAAAACAAGTGAATATCTCAAAAATGTTCCACCAAATGATGAAAAGTTTCCCCCAAATGAAGTCTCTTATTGATAATATTCGCTTGAAGGCACAGAATTCTTCAAACAAAAATGATGCAGACAAATAATCATACATTTAGATTATATAATAATTATCCCTGGCACTTGAAATGCCACAGCAGTTGCAATCCCCTGATTTTCATTGAGCAGTCTTTTTTAAACTCAAAAGCAAAATCACAAATATGATGCATACTGTATACATTTTTTCAGAAAATATTAAAAATTAGAAGAATACAAAAAACCTTCTGGATTTCACTCAGCTTTATTTTCACCACCCAAGTCTAAAAAAAAGAAAATTTTGACACCAGTGAAACAGGAATTGTGTGTTAAGAAAGTGATTCCGGATGTAAATGCTGTCTGGGTATGGGAAATGAATCTCTCTTTCTCTGCCTCGTCACTAAAAACATTAATTAACCATCACAAGAGTTGCTTGATACGCAAAAGAAGCAACTGTTTGTTTTTTTTTAACCCAAATTTGTCTCGCGTGTTGGAAAGGGGTCATGAAAGATGAACTCTCTGAACCCGTTGGGCAATAACAACAGCTCGTTAATTGAACAACTGCGTCGCTTCCACTTTCTGGACCCGTTGAACCTGTCTGGGTACTCTTCCAGGCATTTGTGACATGCTAATTAAAAAAAAAAAAAGGCTACTGCGACCCCTTTAGACTTTCGAACCCGTTGAACCAGTTACACAACGTTGATTAAGGCATGGAGAGTGTTTGTTTTTTTTGTTATCACTCTTTTTTTCCCCTGGACAAGAACCGAAAAAGAGGTTGAGTGGGGCATATCATTCATCAAGGTTAATGACCGGAATACCTCCTTCCAAAAAAACAAAAACAAAATATTCGTAATCACGAACCCCGGAAGACGTCGATAGAAACGTGATGAACACGCTGACATCACAATCTACAAACAGTATTAACCTACACGCATGGATAAATCGAAAACAGTAAAATCTGATGGTTACAACAAATACCGTTAAAACAATTTTTCAGTACAGTATACGTGTATACAGTACCAAACTTTTCCCCCGAAGTCTTGGCAGAAATCCTACAGGGTATGTGTTATAAAAATCTCTTTACAAAAAAACTCACCAACAATTCTAGTACAGTACTGTATAACAAACTTTTTTTAGAAAAATGTGATTTCTTAATTTTTTTTTAAATCCCCAACAAAGGCAGACAAAGTCTCAAATTTCCCATTCGAAATTTGACAGTGACTGGTTTTTAGGACATAAGGCAGAATCAAGGACAAAAATTCTTCAAAATTCACCTGAACATTGTCCTCTTCTTTCAAAAATGTTTTTCCTGGGTTATTAAAGATGGGGTGTGGGATATGAACCCAGCAAAACTCATGCTGGAATGGGTCTCTATGCTAGAGAAACCCTACTGATGCTTAGGAATTGTAAGATCTTCTGTCACCCTCACAATTCGGTGAAGGGATTGCTTAGAAAAACTTTTTCAACAAAAAGTGCTAGTGTTTACCTGTTATTCAGAGAAAATGTTTGTTAACATTTCAATTTATTTTTGAAGATCAGTTTTTCAACCACTGAAAAAAAAACATCTGAAAAGGCCAGAAAAGCAAAATGTTTTCAAATGTTTTTGAACACGTGCTGGTTTGATTTTTAAAAATCTTCCAATCATTCAAAATTTTTGAAAATCTTGTTATAACAAATTATTTGTTACAACAAAGTCCCCACAAGTTTGTTGCAACAAGATTTTACTAGAGAATAAACCTTCAAGGGAACAGCAAAAAAATTGTTATGGAGGTTTTGAATTGGGGAAACAAGCATTTGTGTTTTGAGAAAATAAAGAAATCTAGACTTTGAATTGCTTCGTGAATGATGAGTTGACAAGATGATGAACTTTGAGAAAAGGGTGCATTTTCCCCAAATAGTCTTTCACTCCCTTTCAAATCATATATCAATACAAAATTTATTGCTTTTCTCTTTCCCTGTGTCACGAACATAAAAGTTAAAAGGCCTCTAGAAAATTCGAATTATGGAGGTTTGAGAAGGAAAGCCTTTGAGTTTGGGATGTTTTTAATGCATCGAATTAAGACAGGGTCTTGAAAAATGAATTGACACAGGGAAGCCTTTGACTTGAGGAGGTTTGAGTTATTGGGGTTCAATTTCAACACGTGATAAGTCTATTTGGTGATGCAAAAGATTTACAGACTAAGGGAATAAAAAAAATAATTCTCCGGTACCACAATGAAAAACAAGCATATATCCCAAAATTTTTCTCACGAAGATACCGTACTTCGCAAGATAATTAGCACACATTTTTTTCAGGCTTATGTTTCTTCCAGGTCTGCAATACGAGAATTATTTCCCAGAAATCGAATCGAAACCGAGAAAAAATCAGGCCTCTGGGATCAAACTCAAATTATTTGCGAATAATTCGATCGTCAAATTTCAATCACAATAAATGACACACAACCGAAGACCAGCAAAAATTACATTCTTTTCATTGAAATGGGAAAAGTGGCAAAACTTTCATTAAATCATCAGTATTTCTTTGTCATGGAAAACAATTAGACATATTCTTCACTCCCGTGGATCAAATCTGTTGAAATTTGGTCCATTTGAAAGCCAACATTTCCTGAGGAAATATGAGTATTTTACAGTTTACAAATATTCAGAAATGAGCATACGAATTAAATCGGGACTTTTGAAATCAAAATTCATAAGTCAAATCGAGGAAATCTATTGATATCAAGATTCGTGTGAGAGTGTCCAAGTAATGTAATGTCAACATCATATGATCGCCGATTTTTATTATCCTTGAGGGTCTCCCTCCTTTTTTTTAAACCCAGTAATTAGCCCAGATAATTAAGGCTCTCACAATGAATCATCGTTAACCCAGGTTATATAGGATTCCTCAAGCAATGACGCCGCAGTCCATAAAGTTAATGGGGTTCCCTGTTGAAAGTGAAGCTTCGGAATCCAAGATTAACGTTTCATAAATTTTTGTCATCCTTTTTACGGCGCTATTCGGGCACGGTTTCTTTGGAAGTATAAAAAAATAGACAATCGCAGTTATTCAATCTCACAGTATTATCCGTTTGGCAGCGTGAGAAGTGAAATACAGTGGCCCCCGCCTAACAGACCCCCCGTGTAAGGGATTTTCGCCGAACAGACCAGCTCTGCAAGCAGTTTTTCCTCCCGCCCAACAGACAAAATCCACCAAACAGACTACTTTTGGTTTAAAATTAGTGTTGAAAATTGAAATGTTTAATTTGTTATACAGTATAATTGAATTCGTGTAAAGGACTTTTCGTCTAACAGACTCGCCCGTTGCACAAATCAAGTCCATTAGACGGGGGTTGACTGTATGCAGTTCCGCTGTACTTATATTCAACAACCGGACACGCTTAATTGATGGGCTTGCAAATCACTTCCTGCTTCGTTAAAACCTTTCCGACAAACAACCGGTTTCAGGAAAGTAGCGTCATGAAATTCGAGGACAGTCATTTTTATAACGACGTCACGATAATCAAAAATACGTGTTTTAAACTGAAATTCGCATTTTTGCAACGTACTAAAGTACTTCAGCACTGCATATACATTTGGGCCATTCAGGAAAAAGCCGGACATAGGACGCACAAGGAATTCGAGAATGACATTTCCTGAATACGAGTACGAAAGTTTTGAAAATTGGACATGAACATTCCAATCTAGACACGGAAATGCGGTTTACACCAAGACCTTCAAGCAATTGAACAGATCATATTCCTTTGATGGAAGAAGAGTCAACATGTGGTAACCTGAACCATCCTTCTTTTTTTCAAACACAGTCGGCTCGATTTATCAAATCGAACTCAGCACAATAATGGTGACATGAATTAAATTACACTCCCTCAATGCTAGCATTACACGTAAAATGCTTTCGGCACACGCCGCTATCAGCTTATTTCAAGAAACTTCAAGGGAGACTGATTTAGAGTGCTTCACTGTACAGTACACTGAAATTTAACAACGGGGTTCAAGTTTGGTTCAGCAAAAGATCAGATTTTTTATTCAGATAGGAGTAAAATATACGACTGTATCTGATGATTGTTAGGAAGCTATATTTTATCTGCATCGAAGATAAGAGGAACAAATGCTAGGTGCTGACTGCTGACAAAAGGATCAACGCCTCAATTCGACAATCGTCTGCATGATCTTCGATCAGTCCAAAAAATAGAGATCATATAGCTTTGAAAGCAAACTCAAAAGTTTGAAAAAAGTAATGAGAAGCATAAATTAGTGATTATACTCATAAATTACCGTTGAAGTAAGAAATAGCATGTGTTCATCCGTAGACTAATTCAGTATTTATAGCAGTAATGATGGAGTAGGACAGGAACTTATTCAAGATATGGGTCCAATATGTAGGGTGTGTACACAGCAGAAACCCTCGAAAGGGAAATCCTCGCGATATCATGGGAAAATCGAAAAACCGCCAACTCATGGATTGATTCTTTCGCAGATCTCGTAAATGACGCCTTTGGTTACCAATTCTCATCGCACACACGCCACATTCAGAAAAGTTATGGGAAAGAAATTGATTGTTTGGGTGACTTGCATCATAGCCGCCGTGGTCATACTCAAGGGCTACTCAATCGGGAATTTCACACTCCTAATAGGGACTGAATGTCCGCAAGTTCTTTCCCCGAATGAAGCACTGAAGTTTCACATACCTTTGGGATCCTGGGCCGGATTTCTCGTACGATCCGGGAAGATCAGAGACAACCGAGACGGGAAGTTGGTGCAGAACTACAATCTGGAACATCCGGAGATCTCCGACTTCTCGGAGCACAAACAGTCAACGGCACTGGTAAAAATCTTCGGCGGAAAGGTAAGAGTTCCTCCGCCTATAAATCCGCTCGCTTACACAGAATGAACCGAAGTCGCAAGTATATATATACACTCTCACCAAACGCGAGATTCACTGTTTCTCCACTCATATGTTTCACACATCATCACTGCACTTCTATACAAAGACACGATAACAGTTGACAGAAGAGGTCAGCAGACATTCACGGAATATAAAAATTGACACAATTCAAGTCCAATGTAGTGCCGACGATACGAATAGGACTTTATTTCGAAGCATATATGATGGTCCGAGCTGAACACAGGATTAATCTTATTGATGCTCTGAACGACGAACGATTGCGAAAACGTTGCCATCCATGATATCGTACGACGGTTTTTCAAGTCTTAGATTCACATAAAAATCCGGATTCGCATCGCGATCGTTCTACACATGCTATTATATTCCTTGCAGAAATTTGGAAATGTAAAAATGGATTCACCGCCAGAACATGTACATGATGCGTAAGTTTAAAACATAAACCGAATTTCATTCAGTATCGCACTGACCGTTGAGGGTGGAATTGTTGCAAGATAGCGTCCATCAGCAATTATTCCCCACGAGCAGCGGATCTCTTTCAACTTTTCAAGAGTAGATTTTAGTCGCTAATATTTTCACTCGCTGTGCAGTATTGCATTTGGAACAGAGAAGATTCTTCTCAGGTAATTCACGGAGATACAATATTGACAACCGATAACTGTAAACTGTCGCACTATAGAACGGCAATATGACATAGTGTTGTCTATAAAATGCACAGGTTTCGACGTATACAGCATATTCGTGAAGCAAGTTCAAGATTACATTTCTTTCTTCACTTTTAGGGGCCGAATTATACGAAGATATTTATATACTTCGTGGTGTTGCATCTCGAATTTCATAAATCTCGTAATTATTCTCGTAAAAGCTATATGCAGTAATTATTGCAATAGATCCCACCAGTGTCTTATTCTAAAATATCTTTCACACGCGCTGTATCGAATGAAACAGAAAGGAGGAACATACTTTGAAGTGGGAGCATTTGATGGAGAATTCTTCGCGAATTCATTGATGCTGGAACGTGAATACGGCTGGACAGGAATACTGGTTGAGCCGGTGAAGCCCTTCTTCGAATCCGTCATTCGGAAAGGCAGGAGAGCCGCCATTTTGAACTCATGCGTCAGCTCCACACCTCAGTTCGAAGTGGTAAGTCAAAGAGTTTTAAAGATGTCAACGTAGAATGGCGGCGGTATACATCTGATCCACCACTGCTGTAAGTGATGACGTACCAGGTGTGCGTCATCAGCCCATCGGAGCCGCCATCTTGGTGATGGCGCAAGCTTCTGTTATCCAATCAACTTCACATGGATGAATAATTGTGCAGCAGATCTCTTCAGATGGATTGGTAGAACCACCATTGCATTTAAAAAACAAGATCATATATAGCATCATTTTTTCTTAATTATGATTCTAGAAAAATTGTAATTTTTAGTTGCTGATTCCAAGAAGATATCCAGATTATATTTAAAAGCAACGTGACTGGATTCCTAACAGCACATCATCCATGTTGATCAACAATCACATGCAGCTTACATCTACATGTAACTGCTGGTGATGACTGCAAAAAATGGGTGTGCTGCCAATTGTTTTCTTTTGCATAATTCCACCATTTTAAAAAACACCTGAAATCTGTTTTTCATGGGGATTCAGGTTAAATTTTTCATGTTGCCAACATCAAGCGACTATTGAGGAAAATTTTCAGGGTTCATATATTCTTCATTCAAGCATTTGAAATTTGCTATTTATTTCATAGATAAGGCCTCCAGCACCAATCACATCAGCATGACCACTCAGCTAATAAGCTCCATGGGGCATAACTTAGACCTTCAATTAACACTTGATTCAACTATGTATTTTACAATCCTGTAATCTGTTTTGAAGATTTATGTGAAAACACCAGAAAATGGAACACTCCACCAGCAGAGCATGAGTGCCAAAGACGGCACTCTGCCAGTCGGTGGATCTGGCTTACACAATGTTCCTGTGGAGTGCTACCCCCTCTACGACATTCTCGTGGCTTGTAATTCAACCAAGTTGGACGCTTTGTTCCTGGATGTACAAGGACCAGAGTATGACATTTTGACCACAGTTCCATGGGAATATGTGGACATACAGGTGAGCTATAACTACATACAGAAAAAAGTTGCATGTCTTCCCTCAGTCATATACTTTATATGGTTTTAAAGCTTGAGAAACTCAACTAAGGCATGAGTAATTTACATATAAGAGAGCAGTGATCAACTTCAATGTCCTCTTAATCTCATCAAGAAACTATGTGTTGTGTGAAAGGATATTTAGGATTAAAGATTTATTTCCCAAAAATTACCTTCAATACTCAAGAGGAATGGTAAAATTCTGCTCATCATTCATGATTTGCAAGCAATCATACAAAAATTGTCTGAAATTTTCATGTTTTGATTGCCATATCTAGAATTATTGTTTGAGAAATGTGACACCACTTTGGCCCTCTAAGATTTTGAGCCTTCAAGAACAGTGGTGGGTAAGCCTTCAGTTCTTAAAACGGGATCAACGTGAAAAATTTTACAAACTTATTAAGCCACATACGCAAGTATATATTGATGTGGTGCATTACAGCAAAGATATCACAATCAAAGCCTCAAACAGACATTATTTAAGTTGGCGAACCGTTAGTTCCTCCTTAGTTTAGAATAAAAAGTCAACTAGTACCACCTTTATAGTTGGTACTTGTTCTTGTACTTCGTCTATCTTTTCTTATACAACCGAAACGACCTTGGAGATGGTTACAAACTCATCAAGCAACTGGGGCGGGACTTCATCTATTCCAAAGTATGAAATTGAATTAATGCAAACTTTCTAGAGAAAAAAGTCCCTCGTGGGATTTTGAAAGTTCTGAAAGAAAGAAAACCGTCAACACAAAACGACTCGGTTGATATATTGTATCTTTAAAAAATCTTGCACAAATCTTAAGCACCAATGCCATGGTGTAGGATTTTCTCCAAAATTATGTGATCGTTCGCGTGAATCCACGCATTGTTGCGATTTGAACATAACATTTTAGAAAACTTGCACTACTATAAAGGACTCAAAGACAACGTGTTCACGTTTTAACCCCCCTTATGTGTTGTATGGTAAACCATGTCGAACTATAGTTCACAAGAACCTTACATACGCCACTTTACAAGTAAATGTGATGCACTATCTTTGTTGTGAAATAAACAAAGGTTGTTCAGCTGGGCGTCATATTTCACAGTAAACACGGCACTTAACACAAGAAATACAAGCAGATGAATGGGATCATCGAAGACCACTGGCGACATCTATGCTCTTATCTCTGCACTGATTTCTAGCAGAGGATAATTCTTCATATGCACAATTTAATATAGAACTGTGGTTTCAATTCAGTTTTTTATCCATATATTTACTATAATCCTAATCCTGAATTTGTTTCCAAATGGAAGACCATTCTAGAGGAAAGCGTTTGCTGCCATTACTGTACAATACATGATTCAGCGTTTACCAAGAATAATCATCAGCAATATTATTACAGGTGGACTTGCTCTAAGATGAAACACAAGGGACCAGAAAAAAAGTAACTGAAAATTTTGTCGCACAGAAATCCAATAGCATTGGGAGAACACGCAAGTCTGTGGGTCCACAAAAAAATTGTTCCACGGAGTGAACTGTTGCATGCAACATCAGCGTAGAGGTATTCAACCTGTATTCATAAAAACTATTCCTGCCCATTGAGACCAATTTTTACGCATACTGCATAATAGGCCGATTTAAAATTAATTCCTCCTGATGAAAAATTAATCATAAGGAATACGGTATTTTCTACATGTAAAGGACGTCTTTCAATCTCCGAGGGACCATTTCCTTTACTCGTAAGAGGCTCCTCTAAAACGAAATGTTTTTCATGAAGCATTCCTCCACATGAAGAAAGTCATCCTCAGCAATATTGTTCTTCATTGGACGACTTTTTCTTGACGTACAAGACCTTCATTTGAGGCATACGGAGCGCCTCTCCATAAGAATCCTTCCTACGCATCAAAATCATCAGTTATCATCCCTTCAGGTACTTCATACCATAAATCTACCTCTACAGTAAAGCCATAATTCGCAGATCATCAGAACGAGCGCCGACACAATTACGGTATCTGCTCCATTCACGGTCCCCTGTTTTCAGGAGTCATAATATTACACAGCAATAATCTGATAGAGGGCTTCTACGGGTGCTCCGCGGAGCGAAGAACGATGTCCCGAGTTCCTAGGGACTTGGCAGCCGCTACAGCTGAAAATTTTTAGTCAAATCAAGTTAAATCACGTGAGGAGATTTAATTGATTAAAATAAGAGTAAACCTTAGTATTATAAGAATAAGCTAATGAAACAGCCGCATGGGGCTTGGGGAGCGAAACCATACATGAACCTCTTCTCAGAGTAACGAATGATACGTTAAATCGAAAAAATGATGTAGGAAAAACGCCCGACCAACACAAAAGACTGAAGAAAGACTTTCGAAAACAGATTGTATCTTTCACACCAACACAGATTTAACACAGGGAAAGAAAAAAATCCTTCATAAATATAATCACCAACGAAAACAAGGTCTATCTTAAACAACACCAACGGAGACCGGAGTCGCCTTCAAGCTCCGCAACATACCCTTCCTTCAATACCCCCACACACGCCTTCCCCTGCCCTCCAGTATCACAATGATTTCCGTTTCCTCAAGTGTGTTGTTCATTCGGGACACAGAAGAAGAAATTTCACCAGATACGAAGAACAAAAAAAAAGTAAGAGAAAAGATCATCACTCATCGCATTTTGAGAATTTCCGGACTGAGCTGAGAGCCAGGGGAAAGTAGAGGAGAACAGTGAACGGAGAGAATGAAAACCGTGCCTGTAATATTCACACACGTGTCGTTACGGAATGGGCTCAAAGCTCGGTGTGCGCATGATCTTCATCATCCCCAGAGATCTCCTCTTCATCCTCCTTCACTTCTTCTTTCGGCTCGTCAGCACTGAACTCGGGCTCAGCTTCAACCTACGGACATACAATCAAAATTAGTAATCCCATCTACTCGTTTAGATCTTTCATCCAATACTTCAGAACCATTTCACGGCATTCGACACATTCCTTTCAAAGTGATCAATAGAACATCAAGACGACCTTCTTCATTAAAAAAAAAATATTTATAATTTTCCGTGAAGTAACAACAAAATTCCACGAATTCACCGTATTCGGTATCAGACAAGTACAGTACTAGTATTTCTCATGCATTATTACGAGATTAAACTCTTCGAAAATCAGAACGTTGGTCAGGGATAAACTTCGATTCTAAGATCGACCATTTCTCGTGAAAAAGTTAATTTCACATAGAAGTGAGCAAAATTCAACATGTAAGTTTAAAATCTGATCAGAACCTCACACTCAATCGCTGTGAAAGTATCAGCCATCTTATAAGTGGAAGGATCAACTTGTCACATGAAGATGGGATTTAGAGAACATTTACATGCTCGGCGTGAAAACATTGGAGAAATTACACTCGTCATCTCTCGGATTATTGAATCTAGCTTTGAATGACTCAACATTACACTCGGGGGACATAAAATCTGCTGGGTTTCAAGTACAGAAAAATGCTCACCTCCTCGTCCAAGGAAATGCCCATGTTGACGCGCATCATCTTCTCGATGGTGTCGGCGAAATCAAACGTATCCTGCAGCATGTACCCGGACCTCAAAGTGGCCGTTCGGAACATCATCTTGGCCATTTCAATCGCAGTTTCGTCCTTGGGATCATCCGATACTCGCTTCAACAAGTCCTTGATCAACGGGTGTCTGGGGTTCACCTCGAGCACCTTTTTCTGATTCATATGATAACTAATCGGAGAGAATTTCGGTTAGGGAACTGGTCATTCGAGGGAAGAAAAAACAAATGGCGAAGAAACGCGACTGAGAGACACTGACTTCCTCTGAGTGTCGACGTGCTTGGCGTGGGTCTGAGAAGAAGCTAAACGTTCCATGTTTCCAGTCCAGCCCCACATTGTACTGACCAGAGCGCACGGGGAATTCTTCAAACGATCGCTGAGTTGGGTTCTAGTGACCTATTGTTTATCAACGTTACAAATTGTTTAATACTGCTCATGATAATCAAACATGTATCTGCATCAGTAATTCGAATTGTTAATACAAATTACGATAAAACCAATGACCATTGATGCGTTAGTAATGGAAATCTTGCACCCAAACCGTGCCGTTCTCCCCCTTCAACTTTGCAGCGAAGACCTGCAATTGGTGTTGATCGGATTTCAAATAAATTCTTCATTCACGTGCTCGCAGGTTTTGCATCAGTGAATTTCCGCAAAATTTCGAAACCGGAATTTTTCTAATAGATCACAAAATTAGCAGTAAGAAACCAAGTACATCTTCGCTTCCTCGAAACTTCTGAAGCACAGTACTGTAAATAATAACACCATTCTTCATCAGGGGGGTTTTTTAAATACAGCACAGCACTATAATTCACTCTCCTCCTGTGAAAATTATCCACGTGGAGGAAGTGGGATCGTAGTAAGAATTTCTCCTCGAATAAAAGTTTATTCTTGACATAACTCCATTAGAATTTTCTGAATTCCAACATCCAATGAACAGAATTTCACTCGAAACCCGATCAACCCCTGCATTACGGTCACAATTTCAAGCAGTTGAGGTCAAATAGGTAACCAGCAAGAAAAACGCAGTTCATGTTAGTCTCTATGAGCCAAGTGCGACCCAAGTGTCAAGAAACCACAACAAAATCCCAGAACCGGTCTGTGAACAATGAGACTTCGTGGCATGTTACGTTCTCCGCATATTCGGATAGATTTTTTTAGGTCTCTTCAGCGAGAAAATAAAATTAATGACGATTCACTGACAAGATCACCCTCGATTTGTAATTCACAAAAAATACAGTGGAACCTCTACAAGTCGAACTTCCTCATTACTCGGTTCATTTGCCCTGATAGTATTTCATTTCCCTTGAAAACGTATCAAGTTACATATCAATTCCACTATATCATGATTCAATAGCCAAAAGGCCTCCAGAAAAATCGACTTACGGAGCTTTGATTGGGAAAGCCTTTAAGCGTCTTCAATGCATTACTTTTACAAGAAGTCAGAAAGGGAAACATCATATTGGACGGTAGGCATTTGACTAACGGAGGTTCGAGTTATCGAAGTTCAGGTGTAAAGGAATCATTATGTCAATAATGGCGGATAATAGATACCCTCTATATTTAATATCACGTAAAATTCGCGTTAAGAATGCCTCGTACCAACCTTGTCATAATTGTGCAAGAAGCTAATTCTCTCAACCAGGTAACATTTTCTGGAATACACGGCAGTGCTCAAGAAACATGGAAACCATCATGAAGTGCAACCAACACCAAGCCAAACAAACCCGTCAACACCGAGGAAACACGTGATATTCGGAGAAGAGCGCATTGCGAGGCTGAGAGCAAAGATTTGTTCACGAGAAGAATGTCAGCACCTTTTAGAGGAGAATGTCCATCATATATCGAACTTCACCGCTGGCGGCGCTGTATTCCTTTCGCACCATGTGCAAAAACCGGATCGAATGCAGTAGCTCAAAACGGTTGATCTATCGGTGCTTGAATCGTCACTTATGTTTAAATTCTTGAGTCTTCAATCGTTACAGAAAAACGAAGAAGTAAGGAATACCTTACAAGTAATGTGAAAGTTTTGTGAAAGGACCTTGTGTAGAGTGTGGACCACGCAATTTCACAACTTCTCCGAACATGGAAAAAAAAAAAAAAAAAAATAGAGGAGACAGAAACGATAGAAGAAAGCCTTACTCCCGCATGGAGTCGTCCGCCTTCTGATGTGCATTGGCCACAGCCAAACGTTCCATGTTACCAGTCCAACCCCACGCACTCGCGACCAACGCGCAAGGTGAATTCCGAAGTCTTTCAGACAACTCGGCTTTACTTATCTAGTCCCACACCAACTGTTAGTTATCAATCCACAACCGCAAAACCAAGTACAGTAGTATTAAATTCAATCAAGACTCACCCAGGCATTGAGAGCATCATCACTGAGCCACTTGAGCAGAGGTTCAAACTTCTCCTTCTGCGCATTTCGGTATTCTTTGGCCGCTTCCGAAGATGTGTCGTCTTCGATCTTGAAACCTTCCCTGGCAGCGTTTTGGAATTTCTTACCGTCGAACTCGGGCAGTGCTGACACGCAGTATTCGTCCACAGGGTCGGGAAGGTAGAGAACTTCGTATCCTTTGTCCAACAGGCGCTCAACAAACGGAGATTCCTTGATCTGTGAATACAATTACGATGAGAGACAAAATCCTGATCATACAAGTAAACCTTCGGCGAGATTGCTTTTGTTACATCACGCAGGTTCAATCATCTCCAACCTGACCAAACATGATTAATTTAGCCTGAACCAAGGAATTCCTTCCGGACACTGTATCTGGACAGCAAATATCACCCATGGCTCAAATTCCGATCACTTGCATTGAATCATCGCTCTTATTAGTGAAGGTGATCAAAATTCGCCGTGTACTGTACTCAAGAATACCGAGCTTACCTACGAATACTGAATAGGATTCGGAAAAACGTAGAAGTTCGGCGATACGTGAATTACATGTTGAATAAGAACCTCTTACGGGATATTCCAGGGAATGATCTAACCTCTTTCAAGGAAGCACCGGCAAGGTAGTAGATATGCTGCTGCTTCTCCTTCATCCTAGCAACATATTCGGCAAGAGAAGTGGGTTTCTCCACAGCAGAGCTATGGAATCTCAGCAACTTGCTCAACCTTGACCTGTTGGCGGTGTCTTCAATCACACCCAACTTGATGCTGCAAAAAAAATAAAGAAAAATGGAATCTATCCGTCAAGAAATACAATAGCCCAGGAATCATTCACTTCCATTTCACCCCCGCCGTTAACATTCCGGCACGAATATCCTTCATTTCGTTTTGTTAAGGCAATTGAATTGAAGTTCTGTTACATTTGAGAATGAGGCGAAACCCATAAAATTTCAATTGGAGTTGTAGAGCCAAGGACCCCAGAATGCGAAGATGTACTCACTGAGTTCCGTATTCCTTCCAGAACTTCTCAATATCCTCTCCTTCAAGCTTCTTCATCATGTCCAAAGTCTTCCGAACAAGCTTCTTTTTGATTATCTTGAGAAGCTTATGCTGCTGCAGGTTTTCTCGAGACACATTCAGTGGAAGATCGTCAGAATCAACAATACCGCGGATGAACGACAAGTAATTCGGCATCATGTCTTGGAAATCATCAGTGATGAAAACTCGTCGCACATACAGCTTAATGTTGTCGGTTTTTTTCCCATACGAATTGAACGCTTCATTCGGAAGTCCATTGGGAACGTAGAGCAGAGCTTTGAAAGAAACTTCCCCTTCGGCGATGAAATGCGTGCGAGTCAGAGGACCGTCCTTTTCTTTCGTGAGAGATTTGTAGAAATCGTCATATTCGCTGTCTTCGATCTCCGCGGGTTTTCGAATCCAAATCGGTTTCGCGTCGTTGAGGAATTCCCAGTCCCAAGTTGTCTTCTCCACCTGTTTAGTTTTCGGCTTCGCCTCTTCTTTCTCCTCCTCGACATCAGTTTCCGTTTCATCTTCCGTCTTCTCCGGTTTCACCTTCTCTTCATCTTCCTCCAACACTTCGTCAACCATCTCAGTCTTGGACGAGTACAAGTAGATCGGGAAATTGATGAATTGGGAGTACTTCTTCACAAGATTACGAAGAGTGTCCTGTTCCAGGAAATCCCAAGCTTCTTCTTTGAGCTTCAGTGTGATTTGTGTTCCACGTTTGAGCGTAGGTCCACGCGGATCCTCGGCAATAGTGAAGGAAGATGCATCAGACTCCCAAATGTACTGCTTGTCGTCATTGTGCTTTGTGGTTACGATCACTGTATCGGCGACTAAGAAAGCGGAGTAGAATCCAACACCAAATTGTCCGATCAAATCCCCGGCATCATCAGACTTGGTTTCAGTGTCCGTGATCTTGCTGATGAATTCCGCAGTCCCGGACTTGGCAATGGTTCCAAGATTGTTCATGAGATCTTGTTTGGTCATCCCGACACCGGTATCGATTATATGCAGCAAGTGATTGTCCTTGTCAGCCTTGATCCTGATATTCATCTCATCAGTGGCATCAAGCGATGATTTCTCAGTCAGCGAAAGCAAACGGATCTTGTCCAAGGCATCAGAGGCATTGGAGATCAGCTCACGCAAGAATATGTCCTTGTTACGGTACAAAGAGTTGATGATGAGCTTCATCATACGATTGACTTCAGCTTGGAAAGCGTGTTTCTCAGCCTTCTCACGCAGCTCTTTAAACTGCGCAACGTTGATCCCGTCCAACTTGATAGCTTCTTCTTCCCGAGCAAGTGAATCTGCTTCCGTATTAAGACCTCCGCGTCCCAGAATATCGTCGACTTTCGGGGTTTCAGGGAATCCTTCATGCTCAGACGCAGCGCCGAACCTCACTACGAATAAGGAGAAAAATAATTCCAGATAAGAAGTAATCAAAATGAGCATGTGAGAGAATAAAAACACGCATAAGAAGAATCCCCCAGAGATTAGTTATCAAGTTATAAAACACTGCGGTCGTTTCAAACAGGTGCGGTTCGAACTCTTCACTATAACATCGGTAGCTTTTGCTTCTTCCAATAAATCACAAGCGGTTGGTTACTCATTACATACAGATATATCCTGAGGTGTTACAGCTATGCTATCTCACGTGAACAAGATACCAACGATCATTGCTACATACAATTCTAAAAGCGATCCAACGTACCAGCAGAGATTGCGATGAGAGCCGCTACCGCAAGGGCGAGCAGAAGTCTTCGAGGATGCTTGAGAGCCATTTCTCAACGGCTTTCAAAGAGAAACACTCGCGAACACGCTCCTGAAATTGAATATAAAGAAGAATCTGAACTCATGAAACGAAAAGAATCACGGACTCGATACAACCGGCGCTACGAGAAGTTAAATGCACTAATACGATCACACAAAATCACCAGGAGGGCATAAGTCCCCGATGGGCTATCGTAGGATCAGCCGATTTCTTCGGAGCAAATGTGTACCACGAAATATCCCACCACCCGTAAATTGAATGGAAAGGCACATCGAATCTACGACTATCTCGAGTCATCACCACTGAACATCTACGATAGCTCTGCGGTCGCACAGAACGCCCTCGGTAAAAACCGGCATAAAGCTGACGTATCACAACGAACATCTGACGCGCATCCCAACACAGCCGGAAGCATGACAGAACCGACACGACATCTAGCTCAACACACGCATGCACGCCTCGAACGAAGTCATTGAACTAAATCATTCAATTTAAATTCACCTGCTGAGAAAGCAAGAGTATCAGCCAATATACTAATGAATGATCACACGTGTCGAACAAAAATCCATGGGACTTGGGAATTCTTGCATTTCTATCGAAGTTTCGAGAAGAAAAGGGGGCGTTGACGCAGGTCGTACACTCCAACCAATCACTGCGCACCACGACCCGAGGGTATCAGCTGTACACGTAGCGCGCATATCAAAACATTCACCTTGCCTTCGTGGACAGGCTTCACAGGGTGAACACGGATAATTCGATGAACGTTTCCAGAGGAAACGAAACGTGGCGAACAAACATTTCATCACCGTAGCTTTTATATTACAATGGACAGTAAACGAAATTCTGACGGATCAGACTCGGAAGTCAAAATGAACTGGAATAATATGGGCAGTTCGAACTGAATCGTTCTGTCTGAGTGAAATACTCTCCTCTTCTGATGTGGAATTTCAATTTTTTAATCGCTTGTAAAACTCAATTATACGAAGCCACATGCCAGGAAATATTTTCATGCAAAAGGTGCACGATGAAATGCCGTAGTTTTTTCTGTTGGAGCAAATTAGAACAGGGAGTTTAATCGTTGAGAATTTTAGAGTTAGACCACCCAAAGCTGTGTTCCAAATGCGATTCCTATTGCGAACATTTGATTTCCTTTCAACGAGAATCGAAAAACGAACACTTTTACACAGTTCACGCTCAGCGCTGCTGAAGCAGTGAAACCTATCATACAAAATTTGAACATGCGAAGATTGTAATTCCCAGAATTTTCCCATCTTGAAGATGCCGGAAGAAATCATCTCGACTTTCATCAACGTCCGTACATTCTCCACGATTCATCCGCAGCATCATTTGCCAATTCATCTGCAGCTTCATTTCCTTCTTCACCCGAATGTGCTTCCACCTTCTCCTGAAATTTCGGATGCAAATAAATACGCCACATTCTGCCAACTATAGAGCTTCCTGTTTATCGGCAGCAGTGCTCTCATCTTCTCACTCGATGAATTTTGATGAAATGGATCTTTCATGACGACGTTCCATTTCAACGATGGAAATACAGTCACAGTAGTTCTATTAAAATCTATTTCCGAACGATCTCAAGTTCAGTTATAAATTACCAGTAGTTCTGCAATGTCACAGTACTTGAGAAAACAAAAAAATAAGCTGTACTATGATTACGGTGTTTTTCCCCGAGGTAAATTGTATCCAGTGAACAATTTCAGAAATTTGAAATTTTTGACATGAACCTTAAGGTTAGAAAAAATAACTTACGAAGCGAACGGTAATTAACGATAAGGCTTCGTCAATTGCTCGAATTTCGTCTTGATTTTCGACATCTTTCGAATAGCCATTGTAGTTCGATGTTTGCCAGTTATTGCGCCTCCACTTTTTTATCCATACCGAGCAAGAATTGATGACGTACCACGAGTCGCTTCTGATCTCAAGCCTCACCAAACCTGCGAAATCAAAATTTTCACACCGATCTTTGCATACTACGTGAATTGCACTTTTTTTTAATTACCCGCTTCGTTCGCCGCATGGATGGCGTATAATACTGCCAGTAGTTCGGCCTTATTGTTTGTACTCGGCGGAGGTATGGGCTCCGAAATGTTCCTGAAAAGCAACAAAAATTCCGATTCTGTCAAACCACTGGATTACTGAACATTCAATCGGATAGGCAGGATCCATCAGGATCAAAGACAGATTATTTTCCGAATCGTGGATAAACAGCGAGTAATTCTTCCAACATTGTAAAAAATAAACTCGCCATTCCAACAAAATTAAAAATTAACACAATTCAATTTTGCAGGATAAACAATAAAGTTTATCACGGAATGTTTGCTTCCTCATGAAAAGTTCAAATTCAAATGTTCGCATTCATCAGTTCATTGAATAACTTGCTTCATAGTCAAATTCCGTAAAGACGCACCCCCGATGGGCCGCCACCTTTCACAACCACCGATTTATTTCGAAAACGTATCTTCGTTGATGATCAAAACACTGGGAAAATAATTAAACCGCATAGACTCCCGCCTCTTGAGTTCGTCTTCAATACCCCACCAACATGACTCAAGTTTCTGTGCCAAGTCTTCCATTAAAACAAAACAAAAAACACACACTCAAAGATGACAACATTTACTTCTTTCCGAAAGTAACTGAAATCCCAGTTTCCGCATGTACAGAATACGAATACTGTACTGTACTGCAGTTGGGGCTTAGTATGACTAGAACTTTTACCCGGTAGATGACGCACTTGACGAAAAAAAAGCTCGACTTACGCGACGTGTCGGGGACCAAACCAGACTCCGACTCCAGCAGCGTTACCCTTGGACCTCTTGCAGGATCCATCCGTGTAACACACGGCAAAATCATCGTCAGTGAACTCGAAGCTCCGCGCCAAACGAGCCTGTCGCAAAATTCTATCTGGAACCTCTATCTGCAACCAAAAAAATGAAAACTGCAGATAAGCTCGAGAACCCCAGATGCGGATGTTGGTTCATTCATCGCACCGTATCTGCCTTGTATCTCTTGCATGAATGATTACAATATGATTCCGTCTCGGCTCCGCGTTTGATTGACCTCCGATAGGATTCCTATTTCGGAATGAAGCAAAACTCGGCAATAAATTCGCAGTTCACGAAACAAAATCCAAGAGTAAGTCACACGCTCGAATTTTGAGCGAATCCAGAAAGACACTGTATCAAGAAAGTTCAACTCGCCTCATTTGGCACTGTTCAAGCTATAAAAATTTAGTCATATTTCCCAGGGAAGGACAGTGTATCTTCTACAGAATGAAGGTACAATACTCATATCTCTGGAAATTATTCCAAGATCACGAAAATCCTTAGAAGATCCTTAGAAGTCTTCTAAGGATAAGCTTTTTCGACCTTAGACGCAGGTCAAGTCGCCGAGGGGGATAATACGGTACTTTACATGCTTCTTTGGACAATCGGAGAACAGAGTTTGTTAATCCTGGTATTTCCATTATGAAAAAAAAAAACGTCAAAGCAAGATAAAGAATAGGGCACCACTGAAAAAAAAAGAGAATAGAGTTCAACACGAAAATAACGTTGCGTTACACTGTATGCTGTAACTCGAGAAGGAGCGATTGTACAAATGGGAATTAAACGAATTATAGTAAAATTAGAAGACAAAAAACTGAAAAAAAAAGAGAATAGAGTTCAACACGAAAATAACGTTGCGTTACACTGTATGCTGTAACTCGAGAAGGAGCGATTGTACAAATGGGAATTAAACGAATGATAGTAAAATTAGAAGACAAAATCCACAAACCGGATCGCTCATGTAATCTTCTGCTTCTTCCCGCGTGCTGAATTTCCTGAAGTGCGCCCCTGGAAACCTTGACACTTGCTGCTCACATTCTCCCCTGAAGAAAGCAAATACAATTATTATTTTGATCAATATTTCTAAATTGTCGACTCAAAATTACACACCAAGCATTATAAATCCCGGGTCGGACACCTTCTGACACAGCGTAATACGGCATGACGATTGTTGGTAAACGATAAGTTTTCGAAACACGACCTGATGAGCAAAATTCAAACGACGAAATAAAAATAAATAAAACGATATACTGTGTATAAGTTCAGGTTATAACGAACTTCAGTACAAAACACTCCAGACAACATTTTTATTTTGACAAAAGCCTCTTTCAACAGCAAAGGAATCACGTTAATTCAGCTAATGTTTTCTACACTTAAAGGGGGAAAAGGAATGAAAAGTTAGCATGCGCGGAGGTTCATTGAGACTTTTCAACAGTCTGGGAAATAGGAAGAAACTGGCGGTTTATATAGAGGGAAAAAATCAATAGGGTTTAACCCTGGTGAAAAACACTTTCATCTTTCAGGAATTGTCCTTCATTCATCCACCACACGCAAATTCATAGAAAAACTTCTGGGAAACACTTTTGTGGGAAGACAGCAGAAGATTACATGAGCGATCCGGTTTGTGGATTTTGTCTTCTAATTTTACTATCATTCGTTTAATTCCCATTTGTACAATCGCTCCTTCTCGAGTTACAGCATACAGTGTAACGCAACGTTATT